AGGCGTATTTTGAGAACTGTGGGGTTGTTGGGGCGACTGGGGTTTCCTGGGGTGTGGACACTCATTCCTCCAGTGGCCATGCTGGCCACAGTTGAAACAGGTGTTCCTGTCTATTCCTCCTTGGTTACCCCTGCCCCTATAACCCTGATTTCCCAGTCTCCATCCCCTTGCCCCTCTTTGACCACCCCTTCCACGGGCTCTATGTGCTCCATCCCATCCTCTCTCTCGGGCCTGTGTAGGTGGACAGTGTTGCAATCCCTGAGCATAATAAGCAACCTTACTTCCTGAATCTTTCTTAAGTCAAAACAACCTGCATTTTCCTTCTCTATAACCTTGGTAAGAAAATCTCAGCCACCTAAATTGGCCCAGTATGAAATCAACTGTTTCACAAGCAAATAATACTGTGGAAACATATTACCAAGGCATGACTGTATTTTAAGGAGATCCATATCATCTCCAGACTTCAAACCTGCCTCATCCTTCCAACACTTGTAAAATCTCTTTACAAAAATACCAATCTCTTCCTTTGCACCTTGCTTACATGCCAAAGCAGTGGATATAGACTGCTTATTCTTCCATAATCTCAACATTTCAGCTTCCACCTCGTCCCACATTTTAGCACATCCTGCTGAAGTACTAAGCTCATAAACACCATCACTACCAGCCTCTCCAACTACAGTACCGTTGTCTGTCTCACTGATAGAGGGTACCCTAGACCAATCCCAACCAGAATCTGGGTCATACCCTAATATTCCATTTATAATTAACTGTATGTCTATCTGTGTCATGTTCTGTCCTAAGCACATTCTTTTCAGATACATTAGGCATGCAGAGGGATTAGTACGGGTGTTTGGGGCACTGTGAATATGTCCTTGAGTACTCCGGGATTAATGGGTTTCATTATTAACTGATTACCAACAGTCATGAACGGGGCAGTAAGATCAGCACCTTCTAATTCTGGCATCTCTACATCATCATCACCTTGCTTATGTACATATGATTTTAACACCTTGCCACTTTTAAGTTTAACTCGCATTTGTACTGTTAATTTAATTGTACCGGGAGGTGGCAGTGGATATTCTATATCAGAATCTAGTGTAGATGATGATTCCTGTAATAGCTGTGATTGTGAATTAACAGCTGCAGCAATACAAATATCTTCTATATCATCCTCTGAGGGGGCATTAGGTACAGCAGGATACATTGCTTTATAGGGAGGTGGGGGTTGTGGTTGGGCATGGCCGGGGGCTGACTGGGTAGGGGGCACAATTGGTGGTGGATATGGATTCTCAGGAGGGGCTTCTATGGGAAAGCGGATGGTATTACTGTCAACAGTTCCCTTTCTCTTAGCCAGGTCTTTCTTAGCTTCCTTTAAAACCTTTCCCATTACACTACAAGGAAACCAATGAGGGGCTATCTGCAACCAATTTTCACCTCCTGCTTTCATATATTCCTTATCCCAATCTGGATCAGGACCATACCACGGCCATGACTTCCTATCTCCCAAACACAATCCTCGAATCATATTCATATGGAAATTATCATTAGCCCCACACCTGGGAAAAGGATCAGATGACTTCATAGTCTCTGTCCATCCTGCTAAATTTGACACAAAGGGGATTGTAAGAAATCCTCCTTGTGTTCCTATTCTAGTAACATAATTTAGACATGACTTCCCTGGGTGGGGTAAAGGGTAAGAAATAGACTGATTATTTCCCACATTTCTGGCTCAGGGTAGAGACACTACCTACTTACCAATAGTGTGTCTCTACTTAACAAGCAAAATAAACACAAAGCAGACACAGGGTGACCAGAGGAACGAGAAGTTTGGGTTATTCTAGATCTATAAACTGTGTTTCCTAGAACACCTATAGTCTTAATAAACCAGAGACTCCTTTATAGTCTCAAAACCTGTATCTACCTGAGATACCCTGTATCTATCTTAGATACTAACCTGGGTTACCAAGAACCCTATACTAGACCAATTGTTCACTAAAAACCGGAGACCTATTTACAGTCTCAATATAACTCCTTACACCTTTCCTATCTACTGGATACAGACTTACCGAACCAAAGGGGGTCATAGACAATCAGCGTCAATAAGACACAAAAAGGCTACTTACCCAATGGCTTTGCTGATCCCACTTCTAACACCAAGCTGAAAGGGTTAATGCTGTTCTGGACCCAACTCCCCTCGATTCTCGATTCTCCGGTCACCACATCATTTGACGGGAGTTCTTGTTTAACAAATTAAGACACAGACACGAAAGAGTGCTTAACAAGTTCTCAGTGAGTATATTTTCAGGGCTAGCATTTATACACAGTTTGTCACGCAAGCAGCGAGATTTATCGTTTCCTTGTAGTTAATAGTACATACTTGTCTGACATTAAAAGATAAGCATTTGAATAAAGACGGGACAGGAACATCCTGAGGTCAAGCGAGGTCATACATCCTGTAGAAGGGAGGACTCTCAAAGCATGTTACAGAATACATCTGCCAAGGTCAGCATAATTATTTCAAACATTATTTTAAAGCATATAAAACAAAAAGAGTTAACTATTTCATATCCTCACATAGCGGTCCTGTTGCTGGGTTGTTGGCCTCCTACGGCCTCTTCCACGTCTCCTGATGTACTGACCTGTCTCCCGGTAGTACCTCCATGTTCTGGACACTATGCTGACAAGCATAGCAAACCTTCTTGCCACAGCTCGCATTGATGTGCCATCCTGGACGAGCTGCATTACCAGAGCCACTTGTGTGGGTTGTAGACTCCGTATCATGCTACCACTAGAGTGAAAACACCGCCAGCATTCAAAAGTGACAAAACATCAGCCAGGACGCATAGGAACTGAGAAGTGGTCTGTGGTCACCACCTGCAGAACCACTCCTTTATTGGGAGTGTCTTGCTAATTGCCTATAATTTCCACCTGTTGTCTATCCCATTGCACAACAGCATGTGAAATTGATTGTCACTCAGTGTTGCTTCCTAAGTGGACAGTTTGATTTCACAGAAGTGTGATTGACTTGGAGTTACATTGTGTTATTTAAGTGTTCCCTTTATTTTTTTGAGCAGTGTATATTTTCATTTACCTTATTAATACTTACCTATATAAAGATCATGATTGGCTGCTTTTTTGTCATTCCATGTGATTGTTATCCAGTTGTGATTTACTATCATTCTACTGTGTACCAAAACCAGAGGGATATCCTGCAAGTGGGGATTGTATACCACTGCATGCTGTTTTACCTAGAGCTGGTTATAGCTTTACCATATCTGAGTTGATATCTCATCTAAGTGTCGTTTGTCCTACCACGTACTCAGTGGCGTCTCTAGGATTCATTTTTCGGGGGGGCACATGGAGGGCCAGTGACAAAAGTAGGGGGGCACATTTAACCACGCCCTTGTCGCAGTTTGACCCCGCCCCTGTCACATGTTAAGCCACGCCCCCGACACAATGTGTTTTGTTTTTTTAATAATACCTGGTGAAGGATTCATTATTTTCCACCAGGGATTATTAAAAAAACAAACACATTATCCTTGATACAGTGCCATAGTTGACAACATTAGAAAAAAAATTCCAAGGACATTTTGCAGCACAGCTATCAATTACTGTCTGTGTATAACATCCCTGGACAGTCAGTGCTCTCTGTATAATACAGGGTTGTGTGTATAATAAATTGGGACACTCAGTGCTCCCTGTATAGTGCTGTTCTCTGTATAATACAGGTATGTTTGTGTATAATATCCCAAGACAGAGAGCAGCACTATACAGGAAGCACTGACTATCCCGGGATATTTTATACACACAGATCTGTATTATACAGATAGCTGAGCATATACCCCAATCTCTAGACTACTCGTACCTGTCAACAGCAGCTCCCAGACACTGTAACAGGGCTAAAGTGTGCGGCAGCTCACACAGATTATTCAGCGGTAAAGTGCACTCGCTGGCAGAGCCAAACTGGGAATCCCTGGGAATCCAAAGCAGCCCTGGAAAAAAAACGTATGCCATTCCTACAAGTCAAAAAAAAAAATATATATATATATATATTTATATATATATATATCAGTAAGCACACAAGCTCACTGACATGCGCAAATAGGCCTACTGACAGACAAAACTCTCTGACTCACACACAAGCTTACTACAGACACTCACTTGTATAAACAGAAGGCTCACTACAAAGAAGTTCAGGGACACACACACAAGCTCACTAAAGACAAGCTCACTGACACTCACATGCTCACTAAATAGAAGCTCACTGACACACACAAGCAGTACCATTTTAACAGAGTTAAGTGCCCTTGCGTAAAACAATGCCCTGGGGCCCTTCCTACACAACAACTCACAGGAATTTTAATTATTGACTGCCCACACACAGACTGCTGAGTCCATACACACACACACACACAGATTGCTGAGTCCATACACACACACACACATACTGCTGAGTCCATACACACACACACACACACACACACTCTGCTGAGTCCATACACACACACAGACTCTGCTGGGTCCATACACACACACAGACTGCTGAGTCCATACATACACACACAGACTGCTGAGTCCATACACACACAAACACACACTCTGCTGAGTCCATACACAAACACACACAGACTGCTCAGTCCATACACACACACAGAGACTGCTGAGTCCATACACACACAGACCTGGCTGAGTCCTGGCAGACACACACACACAGACTCCATGATCCCACACACACAGACTGCTGAGTCCATACACACATATACACACACACAGACTGCTGAGTCCATGCACACACAGACTGCTGAGTCCATACACACACAGACTGCTGAGTCCATACACACACACACACAGACTGCTGAGTCTATACACACACAGACTGCTGAGTCCATACACACAAACACACACACTCTAATGAGTCCATACACACAAACACACACAGACTGCTGAGTCCATACACACAAACACACACAGACTGCTGAGTCCATACACACACACAGACTCTGCTGAGTCCATACACACACACAGACTCTGCTGAGTCTATAAACACACACACAGACTCTGCTGAGTCCATACACACACACACAGACTCTGCTGAGTCCATACACACACACAGACTCTGCTGAGTCATTACACACACAGACTGCTGAGTCCATACACACACACACAGACTGCTGAGTCCATACACACACACACAGACACAGACTGCTGAGTCCATACACACACAGACTGCTGAGTCAATACACACACACACACGCACAGGGCTGCTGAGGTCCATACACACACACAGACTCTGCTTCCCGAGTCATTACACACACACAGACTGCTGAGTCCATACACACACACACACACACTCTGCTGGAGTCCACCGCACAAACACACGGGCTCTGCTGAGTCCATACACACACACACACAGAACTGCTGAGTCCATACACACACACACACAGACTCTGCACGAGGTCCACACACACACACACACACTCTGCTGAGTCCATACACACAAACACACACAGACTCTGCTGAGTCCATACACACACACACACAGAGACTGCTGAGTCCATACACACACACACACAGACTCTGCTGAGTCCATACACACACACACACAGACTCTGCTGAGTCCATACACACACACAGACTCTGCTGAGTCCATTCACACACACACAGACTCTGCTGAGTTCATACACACACACACACAGACTCTGCTGAGTCCATACACACAAATACTGCTGAGTCCACACACACACACACACACACACACTCTGCTAAGTCCACACACAAAACACACACAGACCGCTGAGTCCATACACACACACAGACTGCTGTCCATACACACACACATAGACCGCTGAGTCCACACACACACACACACCGCTGATCCATACACACACACACGACGAGTCCATACACACACACACACACACATACACACACAGACTGCTGAGTCCATACACACACACACACACAGACTGCTGAGTCCATACACACACACAGAGACTCTGCTGAGTCTGTACACACACAGACTGCTGAGTCCATACACACACACACACTCTCTGCTGAGTCCATACACACAAACACACACACTCTAATGAGTCCATACACACAAACACACACAGACTGCTGAGTCCATACACCCACACACAGACTCTGCTGAGTCCATACACACACACAGACTCTGCTGAGTCCATACACACACACACAGACTCTGCTGAGCCCCCACACACACACACACAGACAGACTCTGCTGAGTCCATACACACACACAGACTCTGCTGAGTCCATACACACACACATAGACTGCTGAGTCCATACACACACAGACTGCTGAGTCCATACACACACACACAGACTGCTGACCATGCACACACACACACAGACTGCTGAGTCCATACACACACACAGACTCTGCTGAGTCCATACATACACACAGACTTTGCTGAGTCCATACACACACAGACTCTGCTGAGTCCATACACACACATACACAGACTCTGCTGAGTCCATACACACACACACAGACTCTGCTGAGTCCACACACACACACACACACACACACACACTGCTGAGTCCATAACAAACACACACACTCTGCTGAGTCCATACACAAACACACACACTCTGCTGAGCCCATATACACACACACACAGACTGCTGAGTCCATACACACACACACTCTGCTGAGTCCATACACACAATGATTATGCCTGGGTATGAAATGGGTAGTTATGGAATTGGTAAAAACAGCATCTGTACCCATTATATCATCATGTATTCTTGTGAAGATTTATAACCAAAAAAAAAGTAAAGTGTTAAAATGCCACCCAAACAGTGGTTAGTCTAAAACCCTCCTGGTTTCACCAGAAGTCATTTGGTAACCCACTCATGGTATCAGCTAAGCTGCAGAAAATATCTGCATCATTATTACTCATAAAACCCTTTCGTAAATGCTACAATGATGGTTTGTTTAAATGTAAAAATGGCTTTTGAATTTATTATTTGGTATTTATATAGGGCCCACATAATGAGCAGCACTGTACATTAGAGGAAATGCAGACAAACAATGAAAACATACAGATACAAAAGGAAAAGAAAGTCTGGTATGTGAAATTACTTTACAGAGGTTTGTCATATGCAAACACTGAAACATGGCTTTCAATGGTTATTTCAAGATCATTTATAAATATGTTAATAAAAAGTTGCATAACACGTGGCAGTGCCAGGGTTAATTATGTGGTGGCTGGCCAGCATTTGATAGCCAACTGCCATATTATATAGTTAGTAAATAATTAACTATCTAAAAATAAATAAATGAATACAAAACAAACAGGGGTCAATAAGACCACCATATTACTATAAAGGAGGTTTAAAAACTCCCTATACCCCCATCTGTGGCAAATGCTCCCTTGTACCCTTACCCATGAGCATTTAGTAGGAGTCCTTAAAAAATGATGGGGGGGTAAGGAGATTGTAGCAGAGCTCCCTGTACCCTGGATGGTTACCTCCGCCAAGCATCGCTTCCAAGCTGGAACCGGGGAAAACCTTAGCGCTTCGACCCCAATCACCGTGGCTTGACTAAAGTCCTCCTGGAGTCTCTCTGTCCTGGAACAGAGTAGGGGATTAGCTCTATCTCCTCCCAGCGACTGAACAACACACAGTCCTGGGACCTCTAGTCTTTACAAGGACTTCCCCCACTGAATCCTACATGAGCTGGAACAAAATTCTGAGCAGTGAATAGCTCTTTCCCCTCCCAGTTATTAGACAACACATAGTTCTGGGAGTACAACTGACTGAAATGAGCCAAAGTCAGCCTTTTATGCACAGAGCCCAGCAGAGAGTCTCCACACAATACAATGCAAGCCCCTCCCAGGAATCTCTGGGCCTGGGAGATAATTGAGTTAAAGACCTGTAAGCTAATTATCTCCCAGGAACAGAGAGCCCAACACAAAACTTAAAAAAAATAACACAATACCCCAAAACATAATAAAAATGTACATTAACCCCATATGTCCTACATCTCCAAATAGCCCTGATCTGAGCGCCCAGATTGTCCAAATAGCGCTCAAATCTATGCAGTGTAGAGGAAACACCACTGTGTCAAAGTTCTGACTGGACGCACACGTGGTCCTATGCCCAAAATAGTTCCAGGGCGTTTGGTGCTTTTGCCGGTCAACGTTGGGGAGCTCCTACGGTCACAATACGGGTGCTCCACCTGGCTCTCAGGTAGCGTTTGTTCCCCTTAGTCTCAGGCACCTTCTCTCCAAAAAGGGCTCTCCTGGCGGGTCACAAAGTGGTTCAAAACCCCGGACCAAGTTGTCTGGGAACTGCAAGGTCACCTCATGTCGAAAACAGCTCCATAACATTCGTGGATAAGTACTGCTGAGGTGACCAGGAACCACGTAGTCCTCATGCCAAAATTAGTGGTTGCGGATAAGTACAGCTGAGGACCATTTATGGGTTTGGTTCATGCGCATGGCCACCAGGGAGCTAGCATTCAGTTCCATTCAAATGAATGGAAAGTGCCAAACCAGGGGCACCAAGGAAAAGCCGCTAATGACGGCTGGGCATCTCCCGAACGGGATCCCCGATCTGAACCATAGTCGGTGGGCAGGAGGTCAGTTTCCACACTCCTCCAGGAGTTTGTGGCAAATGTTAGTGGGAAGAAGTGTTTTTCTCACAGATAAATGGCCTCCACTATGGACCCACCCATGGCCAGTGGGTAGGAGCTATTATAATATAAGGGGTGGACCCACCGGCCTCAATCCATTGTGGTGGGTGGGGACATATGCATAGTTGCCCTCTTGACATATGCTTTACATAACCCATAACCCCACAATAAGACTTAGACACCTTGTTTTATGAAAAAATTATCACAGCTTTAACCCCTTCAGGACCTGACTGTTTTGACCATGTTGTACGTTATGGATCAGGGCTGTTTTAACACCTTTGTGGTGTTTGTGTTTAGCTGTAATTTTCCTCTCTCTCATTTACTGTTCCCATACAAATTATATATTGTTTTTTTTCAGGAAATGAAGAGCTTTCTTTACATATCATTATTTGTATCATGTCATATAATTTAATTAAAAAAATATAATAAAATATGGTGAAAAATTAAAAAAAAACAGATTTTATTACTTTTATTTGAAAAATCTTTTACTCATCTACAAAAGCTAATGAAAAAACCTGCTAAATAGATTACAAATGTTGTCCTGAGTTTAAAAACACCCAGTGTTTATATGCTTTTTTGCAAGTTATAGGGCTATAAGTACAAGTAGGACATTACTGTTTCAATATATATATATATATTTAAAATCTAACAATAGTGACATTGTAACACTGTTATCTGTCATAAATCTTTGAATCACACCCCACATGTACATATTTTTTTTAAAGTAGACAACCCAGGGTATTCATCTTAGGATATTTTGACACTTTCTATGCAGCCATTTTACCACCAATATTTGCCAAACTTTGCATAGGTAATTTGTTGCTGCTGAAAAAATACAATAATATGTGTCCAGCAACATCTCCTGAGTACAGTGATACTACCCATGCATAGGCTTGTTGGGTTGTTTGGGGGCTACATTTGGCAGGTGTGCATATCCGTTTTCCAACTTGGAATTTTGGCATGTAGTCAGCCTGCGCCCATGTCTTATTTGGGACATTTTTTAAGCAGGCCAATGTATTTTACCCCCCTCAAACCATATATTTTTGAAAAGCAGACAACCCAGGGTATTTCAGATTATGTTATTTTAACACTTTTCATGCACTAATTCTACCACCAGCCTTTCTCAAACTTTTGGGAAGTAATTTTTTTGTGTTTTTTTTCACACACCTATTTTAGGCATGAATTAACAGATCGTGTTATGTGTCACTGCCGAACAACACCCCAATATGTGCAACATCTCCTGAGTACAGTGATACCAACCATGCATAGGTTTGCTGGGTTGTTTGGGGACTAAAATGCCATGATAGAGACTTGTGCATGTCCTTTTCTCAACTTGATTTAAAGGTATGCTTGGCCTATCTTCAGTTTGTCATATTTTTGCATCCCTCAGTTGATGTTACCATCATGAAAGTATATATTTTTATAAAGATGACATGCCAGGGTATTATATATGGGGTGTTTTAACATCTTTCCCCAACCATTGTGCTAAGAAAATTTCAGAGAAAGTGCATGGTGGTAATTTTTGAATTCTGTTTTTTATGCACACATTGCTTTTAGATTTTGCCCAGCTGCTTATATGTTACTGCCAGAAACTTTTTAACTTTTTAAACTTTTTAAAGAACAACTGTGCACCTTTAGCAGCAATCTCTAAACTAACTCCTGCAAATAGAATCTAACTGGAGATTTGGGGGAAGGAAACCGACTAACTAAAATTTGCCACTTTCAAAAGACACAAAGTAAAAAGAAATGAGGAACAAGTATTACAAAAAGGTATATTCTGTGTGGTAGAGCTTAAAACACATTTCAATACACAATCCAGGTTTTGAAGGGCAATCATGTCAGTAAAAGGGGGTGTCTGTCGTTTTCCCTTGTTTATAACAGACTCTGCAACGTTTCTGGGGATTTACTTTTTTTTCAGTTGGTGGTATTTTAAAAATAAAATGTGTAGCACCAATTCTGGACTCTTCTA